AACCGATCTCTCTTTGACAAACCAAGTCTACCTAATTTCCTTGAAATGTACCATTAAGTATAATTTTCCCTGGGCAACGTAACTCTCTTAATAGGTTATATTTATTAACCGTTCTGTCAATAAATCTTGGAATTTTTGTCGATTGAATATCGACTCTATATCGACAACTTTCCCGGCACTATTCTAAGCATCACACTGCCGAGTGTTAACAATGAGAGAGCGTCCACACAGAGCATTGAAAGCGTTCATCTGCGGACATTGCGAACAATACCGTATCGCCTATTGAGGTTTAAATTCAAATGTTATGTGTTTATGAAAAAAATCGGTATGATGAAATTTCGCGGTAATTTGTCATGGCACACGTTCTATAACTTTATGAATATAGTAATTTACTATTTTGATTCCGTAGTAGAATCTGGAAAAGCTAATCGTCCTAATTCGATAGCCGGTTTGAACAATAAAAAGAAGCTTTGATGTTAATTATTAAATCATCATCAAAACCAGTATTCAAGTTTTGTCACATTGTACAGTCAATAGCACATCAAACTTCACATTTTGCATTGCAATATCGCACCTATTTCAACTTACATAAGGAACTACAGTTTACCTTGATGTGCCGTCTTCTGTACTACAGTCAGCGTCAAATAGTTCCTGACACCCAAAGTAGCCAAAAAATTCGCAACACGTCTTTGTAATTGGAATAAGGTTGTATTGTCAACTTTTGGCCACACTCTCCGAAGGGATCCCGATCACATCCCTAAGCTGGCTCTGGATTGGAACCCCCAAGGAAAACGCAAACGTGGTCGCCCCAAGCAAACTTAGCGGCGCACTGTAGCAGACGAGGCGAAGAAGATCGGCAAGACCTGGAGCGAGATCAAGCGCGAAGCTCAAGACCGAACGCGATGGATGACGTTGTGGACGCCCTCTGCCCCATCTAGGGAACACTAGCGACCGCCCGCGATTTCGTACGCGTGGATCCCGTTTTACCCCCTTCATCTATCTTACGCGGTTTAGATTTTTTCATACAAATGTTTTTTCCCGCTAACTCCCATTCCCGAGGAAATTTTGCAATATCCTGTTGTAACTAAGCTTTAAGTTTACTAAGGTACCTGCATGCCAAATTTCAAGCGTCTAACTTAAGCGGTTTAGATTTTTCATACAAAAGGATTTTCCCGCTAATTCCCGTTCCCGTGGGAATTTCGGGAATTCCTTTCTTAGTGCACCTCTACGGTACCTAAGCTACGTCCCTTCCAAATTTCAAGTGCCTACGTTTAGCCGTTTAGGCTGTGCGTTGATATGTCAGTCAGTCAGTCAGTTTCTCCTTTTATAATATTTAGAAGGTGGGACCTTAAGTCAAGTAAGTCAAGTCAACTTTAGGCAACTTTAGGTGTTACGAACTATTTGATACTGATTGTACCTACTATTTCAGAAGAAATGGAAATCGAATCTCTACCTCAACAAATCTAGCGGTATTTGTTCCACTAAACCGTCATCGTCATCATTCGAGATTATATTCTCACCATCCTCATTAGCATTTCCATTCACAACGTCACGCGGTCCATTCACCCATACAACTCATACAATTCACACAATATACGTATTTATGTGACGCATCATGTATTTTTGGACTTACTCTATGTAATCTACACGTGCCATGTCGTCGTAGTGAATGCGACATTACTTATTGTAACACGTGTTTGGACAGCTATTAAAAGGTTTGAATTAATTGTTTTAATTATAAAGTTAAAATGCCCATAGTACGAGAGGGGACCGTAAGATACCCTACGTCACTTGATACTAAGATACCTGAAATACTAATTTTTGTACATTCGGCCAAATCGGAGTTTATTAATTAATTGTTCCAAGCTTAGCACAACTTTTTTTACGTGTGCCATGGAGCTTATCTAAATATCAAGTGACGTAGGGTAACTTACGGTCCGCACTCGTACTACTAAGGGATATCACCAATCACCATAGTAACAGAAAGAAACCATGAACGTCGGCTTCTTCCTGACTACAGACTTTTAGTCGGCCGATAGTTGGTCGACTTCCTATTTGAATGAGGAATTGGCCGATACCAAATCGGTGTAATGTGCGCACTTTCATACATGTTCATACTGATTAACAGCCCTACCAAACTAGAGCCTGCAGCCTGCGGGGTGCTTTTTAGGGACTTTTCCCCGTGATGTCGAGTACCTACCAGTACATTATGAAATAGAAAATACATTTTTTTTCACTATATACCCATTGATTTCTATATTTTACAAGCTCATTCAATGGATCCATTAACAATACAAATTTATCACACAACGTAATTTCGATTCCCACTAGGTACATAATGTCAGTTATGGAACATCGCATTCGACAAACAACTTTAGTTGTTGCTTTGAGATAAGAACTTACCTCTCTGAATCATCTCGTGATTGTACGCTCATCATCATCTTCATTTGGACAACAATGGAGTATTAAATTGACATAACAGTAACGCAAATGACAGTGTGGTGGGCCTTACCAATAACTTTATGAATATTGCTAACTTCATTAGGGATGGCATAGGGGAGACCGAGGACAGTTGTAAGTAACAGAGGAGGGTTGTGACATTGTCGATTTTTGTAAACCTAATAACTATCAGTAAGCTCGCAACAGCACTTACTTTTGTTAGCTCGAGACTTAAACTAAAATATGCGCACTGTTACGAACTCGCTAGTAGAATGTCACAACTCTCCTCTGTTACAACTTTCCTTGGTCTCCCCTACGTTCTATGTACGTGCCTGTAGTAGCGATTAACTTGCATACACGCCTACTTAGGCAACTACATTGCATGTCTGCATGACAAAACATAACATTAACTGAATACTGAAACGAAACTCAATGCCAAGTCTTATCTGTCTATGCCATCTTATCCATTGTGAAAATATGCTTTTAACCATGGTCTAAAGTTTCATTGCAATGGTGAAGAAAATGATAAAGGCTCTACTTTACGGAATTTGCATACTTACGCATCCTTTTCTTATTGTGCGTGTAATACACCCCTAGTTGTGTAGCTATTAATGCATACCCAAATGAGCAGAATAGTTCCCTAAATACGTTTCAAGTTTCGTTTCAGTATTCAAATTTCATTTTCAAAAAACAACACACAGTCAAAACAAAAACCTAGCAAACAAAAAACAAAACGCGTCACAGCATACATAGAGCCTACAACGAAAATTAAAATCAAACAACGCAAAAACAAGCGAACAATAGGCTGAAAAGATTGAAAATTGTGGCAGGACAGAACAAAAACGAATAAGCTGGAATTGAAGCAAACAAACAAATAGTGACCAACAACATAGTGTCTAACGACGGAATGCAAACACACATGACAATATATTTAGATGTGGTAAGCTTACTCCCCAATACGAATGAGACAGTAGATGAGCTAGAATTGTTTAGAATATTTGATTTTCAGTAATGTTTATAATCTGAAACATGCTAATATGGCCCGGTTTTTGAATTGAGGACCGCCGCGTACCTAGCTAATTTTGTAAGAAGAGATTTAGGCTCAGTTGCACCATCTTATTTTATCCGTAATAATGACAATAACTGGTGCTTTTTGTATGGATTTTGACAGTTTTTTAACGTTTGACAAAGTTAAAGTAAGATGGTGCAACTCAGCCTTAGTGTCTTTAAAAGCTTTCGTTTCAGCCAAATGACGTCCACTGCTGGACAAAGGCCTCGCCCAAGGCTTTCCATAATGACCGGTCCTGCGCTGCCCGCGTCCAGGTTCTTCCCGCTTTAAAGACAATAAATATTTTCGTACAAAATCGCCATAGATAAGGTCGTGGGGAGCAAGCCTACTATATTCTACTGCACTGTGCTTAAAACATGCCACTGCAACCAATGTTCGTATCTGTCGAAACCGCGCTGAGAAAACTCATTGTTCGCTATCCAAAACAATAGAAGGTGAGGAGTTTGAAGATTACGTTAGTTCATTATGCCGTAATTTCTTAAATAATTTTTACTTTCGTTTTCCAATTTTGGAGTGAACTGTATTAGACACAGAATCTTAGTTAACTTTTTAACGCGACACCCAAGTATTGACTTCAATACTAATAAATTTTAGGCACATGTCAATATTATAAGTAACCACACTCTTATTATGTCAAATCAAATACAGCCCTTAGAATGGCTCTCTTTTAGATCTATCAAGAAGTGCTGGCCACTTCGTCTCTATAAAAAACTAGCTGACCCGGCGAACTTTGTTCCGCCTTAATGGCAATAAATAAGCAGACTTTTTTTTTAATTTCGAACGGGATAAAAAGTATCCTATGTCCTTCTCCTGGCTCTAAACTACCTCCCTGACAATTTTCAGCTAAATCGGTTCAGCCGTTCTTGAGTTATAAGTGGAGTAACTAACACGACTTTCTTTTATATACATATATAGATTTAGAGCGTCTGTTGTTTGATAAAAAGGCATCTCAAACGTAGTATAGTACGAACCTCGCCGATACGCTTTTGTGGAGATCGATTTTAGGCAGTACTTCTGTTGCGCAACAAGCTGATTCATACCTGTATTTAATCGATATCAAACGCTAAACATAACAATCCATTCGCAAACTTATCATAACCTATGTTATAATTCTTCATAATATTTTATAAGTTGCTATTGATTATACTATCGCGTTAATAACGTTACAATTAATTACATTATGCAACGCGAACGGTTATAAATAATTATTGATACTATTCAAGTTGTTATGGTAAACCAAATAAGAGTGGTGGAACTACTTTATAAAATAACTAGAGTCTCAAAGTCGAAAGACATTTTTGAAAAAAAATCACAAGCAATATTAGAAGACAAAACAAATAAACAAAACAAAAAAGAACACAAAACAACTCTACATAACCTAATTTTTTTTATGATTTTTTTCTATACTATTATGAGCGTGCCAAGTATTAAAATATATCCAGAACAATCGAGTTAACTCAAGCAGTTTCGACACCACAATCCAAAGACCTACGTCCAATGAACGGTAGCCGCGCCGTATCAGCTTTGGCCACCACGCTCGGGGCCCCCAGACAGACTATAGCGATGGCGTCGAAGAAGCTCGAGTGGGGGGCCATGACCACCACGGGGGCCTCCCGGGGATCCGAAGGGATGTGCTGCTTCCCACGCATGCGGACCCGGTGGAATCCGGCAGCCACCACCACCAGCCTCATCAGTGACAGGATGGAGAAGCGAAGCTTGCTGAAACGAAAGTGTTAACTGTACCCTAAAGAATTTAATAGAATGTAATCCAACTCAGCCCAAAAATAGCACCGTCAACTGGAGTAATCCAGTAGCACCTTTTGCAAGGCATAACAAAAGATAAAAAAAAAACCTCCTCACAACATAGGGTGGAATGTAGCTGGTCTCAAAACGATGCAAAAGTCATTTTATTCTATTTTTCATTTTGATTGGCTTAGGCTGAGTTCCACTAACTTATTTTAGTGCCATCCACGAAAACGCTCCACCAATTTTTGGTCGAGGGAAGCGCCAGGTGCGGGGAGTTAGATCCGAGCAATCCGAGCGTCATTATTGTAGTGTGCGTGTGCACTCATGGATAATTTAGCGTGTACCGATAACACTCAAACATTAGCGGAAGAATGGTGGGGCGCGTCTTCGTGGATGGCACTATCTATAACAATAAATGATGCTTATTTTTCTATAGAGATTGACAAATTTTTGACGTTTGTGAAAATTAAAATAAGGTGGTGCAACTCAGACTTATTTATAGGTAAAAAAAACTTTACCAATTCCTTTACTTACCGAATAACTATGAGTAATTTGTGACCTTGAACTAGGTACTACCTTGCCGAATGCAATAAAAAAACAGAAAGATAAAAAAGCGTTTACAGTTCTACTAGCTATACACCAACTAGCGATTGGAAGGAATACCATCGAAAAGTTATAAGAGTATAATGAAATAGAAGAACTCAAAATAAGTTCGTAGGTCGATTTAAAACCTTGTGCGTGCTGTTTAGCTCTTAGGCTGAGTTGCACCACCTAACTTTGACCGTAACTGTAACGTTTTGTGTATTGAATTTGACAGATTTTTGACGTTTGTCAAAATTAAAGTAAGTTACTGCAACCCAGCTTTAATCTAAATTATGTAGTAAGTATATTTTATACCGAGCCACCTGGAGACGCTTGATACGGAGGGCCGAACCCAAATAAAATGGGAATGGGCCAGGCAAAGAAGTACGTTTTACACTTCAATCAATGTTGATCGAAGATTTAACACTAAGCCGCTCTTTGTCTAATAAAATTTCCAAAACCTCATTGGGATGTAGGAAACAGCAAATAAAATTGTTTTTTTTTATGCTAGACAAGGCAGGTATTATAAAAACACCATGAAATCAACTTTGAGATTGAATTAGCGTTGTCAACGATGTCAACCTAAAAGTTTGTCTGTTTTCATTATGAATCTGTTAAATGCAAAACAGTACGTAATTTAATGTTATTTATTAATCTTTTGTTTTCATTGAATATTTCAAAGTCTACTTTTTCTTTTAAATTAAAATTATATCTTCCCTTGTCACTCAACTAGAAAGAAAGTCAGTTACAGATATTCCCTAACATTACTCTATGAAGCAGCCCATTTAGTAGGTCTATTCTAATTTGATCACCCAGATGATTTTGGTATCCTTTGATCACCCATGGAGGAAGTCCGCTTTGATAACCTAGGTATCTTATCCATGGGTGATCAAAGGACACCAAAGTGTTGCCTGGTGTCCACTTTGATCACCTGGGTAATCAAATCCAGGTGATCAAAATGGAATAGATCATTTAGTAAAGTCACATCCATCTACCACAAAAAAACTTCCTCCATTAACATTGAACTTTACCTACAACTAAACTAAACCATTAAATATTAAAATAACAGAGAAAACAAATCGTTAATGGGTTGATACGCTATCAAAGTATCGACTAAATGCCACCATGAGAATTCGTTCAGGTCAAATTATATCCCATGCACCTTTCCCATGGGTATTATTATCTCCAACACCTATAATTGAAGGTAAAATTGATATATCATGAAATGTGTCTAAAACGGCCATCATAGAAGCAGTTATAGCTCTGTATTTCTTTGTAACAGTATTCCAACTGAATATAAGTAACATGATAAGACGATAGAAACGATAAGGAAATAGTTTTGATTACTTATAAGTATTAAAATATTGTGAAGTGTAACTATAACGGGTACAAAATGAACATTGAACAGACAACAGCACATCAAGGTAAAAACTATACAGGGTGGAACTTTGTAATGCCACTTGAAGGGAAAATACTCTTAATACTGTAGATAGAAAATTTTACTTAAAGAAAACATTCCTTTATTTTTTAAAACAAAGAGAATCTCATTCAAAAACGCAGAAAGGAAAAATATCGGGAAAAAATATTCAAACAATTTTCACGCGTACGAAGTCGCAGACATAGCTAGCATCATAACACGCATACACATAGTAGGTAGGTAATGCAAGAAGTTTCTCTTCGCGATGGCTTTTTCCATCGTTCCGGAATTTATAAATCTTGCAACTTTCCCACAACATGGAAGATTTTAGCATCGGTCTAATAATTCTAATAATGCTAGAGATGACCCTGCTAACATAATGACCTACATGCACACTTGTCTCTATTTCATTTTTAGTGATGGTTGAAATGCCAAAGTGCGTGTCCTAATTTTATATTCTAGTAGGTAACATAAATCTTCAAGCACTACAGCGGTTAATATTGTTCTCCAAAATTTTTATAAAACCCTAAAACTGCGAAATTCAATAGTGTTTCTGTTGGTTGAGTCCTATAAGTGCGGTCACAGGTTCTCCTATTTTCGGTACAAAACCGGAAATTTAATAATTTATTAAAACTATGACAAGTTTTGTTTTGTGCTGTTTTATTACTTACGGCGGATTGCTACAATCAATCCCAATCAAAATCGGTCCTTCAACTATCAAATTTCAATCTGTTTTAGTCAAAATATCAGTTTTCGATATTATTACATTTTCATTATTGTTCATAAGACTATTTAAACAAAATGAAAGAGTAAAAGCATCTAATATCATGGATCATCGAAAACAAGTTGTATTTTGATAATTGACGGGTGGTGGATTTTGATTGGGATTAATTATACTATAATTATTATAGCAATCCGACGTTAAATTTACTAATTAACCTACTGGTTCACATCAAAAAACTACTTAGGCCGGGTTGCACCATCTCACTTTAACTTTGACAAACGTCAGAAATCTGTCAAACTCCATACAAAAAGCACCGGTTATCGTTGTAGTTAGGGTCAAAGTTAGGTGGTGCAACTCAGCCTTAGATTGTGTTTACTTACTAACATTTCGACGATACAGCCCACTCTTAGTTACAGAAGCAGTACCACAGATGATTAATTGACTTTTCTAACNACATACTTTTGTAAGATTTTTTGAGGAGAAAAGGTTTTTTTACGAGTATCATCATTTGTAAGGTAGTATTTATGAAGAACTTAACTAGAACACCAATTATTATTATCTAAAATTAATTAGGTATTATCTATTATGTAAGATTACTATTTTATATCTTCTAATGTTTGCAGGACATTTCAGAATACAGATTCGCGTAAATTTTAAGTTAATAAGTATAAATTCCCATTAAAGTATAATAATAAGTAAGAGTAAATAAAACGAGCAAACTTAAGTAAAGGCATTTATCCCTATAGATCCCATAGAAGAATCACGAAAATAAAATAAAAATCGGATCTTTTAAAGTAACATCGACCGCGAAAGAAAAAGTTGCAAAAATATTTTCAAATTCTATCTTCGTGGGTTACAATTGGTTTAGTGACCTACTTACACAAGTAGGTTCGAACTAGTTCGTTAATTTATCGTTCAAACATAAGTATTAATCCTTGATCCAATAAAATATTTTTAATTAGTTTTGATCTTTATCTGAATAAAGTTCAAATGACGAAAGATTAAAAGGCCGAGGAAAGCTTTCTGTACCTTCAGGATGGTTTCTAGAAGCGTTTCGCTAATGCATGAAATAAATTATAAACAACTTTTGTCTATTCTAATCGATGCTTACAAAACGTAACTTCGATGGTTAGACTATGTACTTTTGTCGCAAAATCGCTTCCAAGCTCGCATTTAATTTTCAGTATTTAGCCTGATGTACCGTCGTCCATACAAAACGAAAATAGCTTGACAAAGGCTGGAACTATAACAACAACATAGTGTTGTTCCGATGTCAATTACAATAATTTATGTCGATGTTTTTGAGACTTTAAAATTACTTTACTTGTCAGTTACCTTAAAATTTACTTAAAGTTTGGGCCACAAAGCAAAGATTACTCGTGTATGTCAATCATAAGAAATGTTCTTTCTTGTCTCATAGTGAAATTAGATTTTCTACTAATAAGGTGGTCATCTCACATAATAAGCCTCTTTCTCTCTCTGCGAACCAAGTCTACATATTTTTATAAAAAGCATTTCACCATAATTTTCCCTTTGTAATTTTAAGTGTTAGTTCGGTTAGGTCATTTTTATTAAACAATCTTAGTCTCTGCCTATCGAATATTGAATCTATATCGACAACTTTCCCAGCACTATTCTAAGCATCACACTGCCGAGTGTTAACAATGAAAGAGCGTCCACACAGAGCATTGAAAGCGTTCATCTGCGGACATTGCGAACAATACCGTATCGCCTATTGTTTGAGGTTTAAATTCAAATAACAAATATCAGGCTGATGATGGTATTTCTTTGGGACCTTCGGTGTTTATGAAAAAAATCAGTATGATGAAATTTCGCGGTAATTTGTCATGGCATACTTTCTAACCCACGTAATTCATACTTATAAACTTTATGAATAGAGTACATAATACAGTATTTGGATTTTCGTAATTCCGTAGTAATAGTCTTAAATTCTGATGACGGTCTCCTTTTAATANGACCGCTTCCATCATTAATCAAGTTTCTTGACTAGTTTTTAGAGTAGAAGAGTGACGTTGCTTGAGGTACCACGGGACTATTGAGCTTCCCGTCGATAAAATAACATCAACAATACTTATTTGGTAATCATCATCATCATCATTTCAGCCACAGGACGTCCACTGTTGAACATAGACCTCCTCCCCCAATGATTTCCATGTTGATCGGTTGGTAGCGTCTTCCTGCTACCTTTATGTTAAACTAGCTTTCGGCCGGAATTTTTCGGTTTT